GAGTTGCCTTTTTTGTTTTTTTTTTCTTCTTGCATTATATGTTTTTCCCCAAATGTTAGTGCATACTTGAAGAGTTGGCTTTTTTTAAGGAAGCAAATGTTTTAAATAAAGTGATAGATAATAGTCCTACATTTGTATGAATTTGAAACTTACAAAGCACTTTAGTTTTCAAACTCTATGCCCACAACATCCAGTCTTTCTTCTCCCTGCCTCAGAAGAGAACGTGACACTTCAGCCCACAGCTTAGCCCTGGTTCCAGCCTCTGGGTGGCAGAACTCTGCTCCACTGCTACCCACCTCTTTCCTATGTCAGCCGCTCTCCCTCTCCCAGCCTATAAAAAGAATACAAACCCTCCCTCCAACTGCAAGTCCCCTATGGCTACTGACACTCGTCTTTTGATCCTCAGAGCATCTTCTGCTCTCATTTCTGCATCCTCTCTGCTGCACAAGAAATAACTGCATAACTCTCACCCGCCAGGGCTATTCTACCTCAGAAGATCAGGTTGGCTATCCCTTCCTTGACATCATCTCCTCCCTCGGCCTCCATGATGCCTGTGTGTCCTCCTACCTCTCATGGCCTCTCTGGCTGCCTTTTCTTCTTTCCTCCACACACTGATGTTCACCAGGGTTCTACCTTCCACCCTCCTTGCACTTCTATACACTCTCCCTCCATAACTTAATCAACTCCCGGGATTTCTGTTGCTGTTCGCTACTGAATCTCAAATCCAGTTATCTCTTTTCAGCTCCATATTTCTATTTCTGTGCACCTATTGGACATTTCCATCTAGATATCCTACCTAAAAGGACCTCAAATATCAGAATTGATTATTTTCCACAACTGCTACTACTTTGCATTTGCGTGAAGAGTGGAGGGGAGAAGGGTATACAATGAGGAAGGGTGTGCTGATCTCTGAGACCCTCTCCAGCAGCCAGGGAATGTCTGTATGGAGAGAATCTGGAGATGTGGGCTTCGGGGCCCCGCACTGCTGCGTGGTGCATGCAAGTGTAAGTCCGCTGGTAAAGCTAGTGAACATCACAGCTATCTTTTCAAGCCCCCTCCCCAAGCCTCCTGTTTGTATAGTTTGGATTTTATCACTAGAAATCTTTTTTTTTTAATTTCAGAGTATTACAGGGGTACAAACATTTTGGTTACACAAATTGCTTTTGTGCCATTTGAGTCAAAGTGATAAGTATGTCCATCCCCCAGACAGTGTGCACTGTACCCATTAGGTGTGAATTTACCCATCCCCTCCTCCCCTCTCCCACCTGCTTGATTTCTGATGAATGTTATTTCCATATGTGCACATAAGTGTTGATCCATTAGTTCTCATTTAATGGTGAGTACACGTGGTGCTTGTTTTTCCATTCCTGTTATACTTCACTTAGAAAAATGGTCTCTAGCTCCATCCAGGTTAATACGAGAGATATTAGTTCATTGTTTTGTTTTGTTTTGTTTTGTTTTGTTTTTATGGCTGAATTAGAAATCTTGGGTAAAAGAATATTTTAAGTTTTTTGGACTTCCCTGTGGAGGCATAGGGTGGAGTCTGGGAAATAGACTTCACCGCAGTCTCTCAGTATTGTTCAGCTTCTAGACTAGAGTAGTGTAGGTAGGTCAAAGAGCCACAGTGAAAACGACTGCTGGAGGTTATCCAGCCAGACATGTGGTAGACCAAGTGCCCAGATTATTTTATTCCTTCCAGACAAGCCTCCCTTCCACACATACATAGGCCTAGGTCAGACAAGAGGAGGCTTAGTGCCCGTTATACATTCCCTGCCCTTGCTTAAACCACAGAACATTCTTGAATCACCTCAAGTCTCATGGGCCCCTTCCATTCATCCCCAACATCGCTCCCAGATTTTCTAGAGTTAATCTGATTTTATCACTCCTCTCCTTAAGCTTCTCCAGAGTTTAAGGGGCTCCCGTTACCCCCATTGTCTACAAAGTAAAACCTTTATAGCTGAGCACCCAAGAGCCTTCCATCACCTGAGTGTGTCTAACCTTTCAGCCTTTGCACTTACCATTTCACCGTATGTTCCCTGTGGCCCTGCAGTTCTGAACTACTTCCTGGGACAGATTTTGTGCGGTCATCCTAATGAATTCCAACTTGGCCTTCAAGGTGCCACTGTGGTTTGACTTCCCCTGAAGGTTTGCCTTCCCTCTTCTTAAGAGCTGCTTTTTGCTTCCTAAATGCTTTGATAGCAGCTTTTGCAAAGCTCAGTTAAGGTCTACTTATCACAACATATGGAAATGCATAGTTTGCTTGTCTGCTTTCTCTCTTAAAGAAAGAGGATTTGCCTCACCCATCTTTACCCCCAGCAAAAGGCCAGGAGCAAAAGGGACCCCTCATAAATGTATATTGAAGAAAAAAAGTAGGTTGGCAAGCAGGCAACATGAAGAAATTAGCTTGATGGATGCCATGCCTCAAAACTGAAGTGGGAGATAACAAACCACTTCTCCCACTTTCTCAAGAGGCCCAGGCAGACATTGACTCTCACTAAGAAGTCAAAAAAAAAAAAAAAGCCAGATACAGGCTGTTCAGGACTCCCTTTCAGCTAGGGAGCAGCTAGCTAGCTCCCTTGTAGCATATGATTCAGGCTTGACCAGTCAGACACACCCAATGCAGGTCTAGCAAGGGGAGCTAGTGATGCCCAGCTGCAGGGATGGGGGAACTGCAGCACAGACATGCCCACTTGTTCCAGAGGCAGCAGCAGCGGTGGTCCCAGGGGCAGTATCTAGTACCACTGTTGTTGGCTCTGTAAGATCAGGAGCACCCTCACAGGGCTCTTTCAGTAGCATGGCTGTGGTTAGGTCCTTGTCTGCTGCCAAGGCCCCCTTGTTTTCCAAGCTTATACCTCTATCCTACCGAGAAATGCTTTAAACCACACAATGTCCTTTTCTGCTTCTATTATCCTGGGTTAATTTTTCTTGGTGCAATTCAACCTGCCAGACTGGTACAGATGATCAGATCAGATGGTTTAATAAAACGTAAGTACACTATTTCTACTTTGTTTTATTGGCTTATTGATTTGCAGTGTCTTTTACTTGGCTCTTGCTCAGGGACTGTTTTTCTTGGATGATTTTTCTTTTAGTAAGGCTGATATGTTAAAGAGGATTTTTTCCCTTCCTTTCTCCTTTTTGGTGTGGGGGATTGTGGGTCAGGATAATCAAATTTTAATTGACCGAAATCTACACTTAGGTAGAAAAAATTAGGCAATTAATGAGTATAAGAATAAAGGAAAACAGGAGAGCACAAATCAGTACCTTGTGCAGGAGAGTATCACAATAGGACTGTGAACTCATTTAATTTAACTGTTTTGTTTTTATAGATAAGGAACTTTCAACAAGGAATCACACAGGTAATAGCTGAGCCACAATTAACTATATCTCCAGACTTCTAATCCAGGGTTTCTGCCTCTACCCATTATACCAAGAGGCAAAAGGCAAATGACTGAAAAGCCAGCTGAGATCAGATTAAATTCAGCCCAATTAATTATATTTTTTAGGTTTATGGTTATGTATGATAACAATTTGTATTTCAGGAGGTTTTTACAATTTACAAAGCAGCTATATCCTCTCAACTGCTCTAAGACATCACTTTTTAAAAAAAGAGGTGTTGGTATTCATGCCTTGATACTCTTTTTATCATCTCCTACCTCTGACTTTCCTGTCTCCCTTTTCTATTTGTTTTGGTTTTGAAGTTGTAGCTACAAAATGAGTCAGTTGGGAAGAAAGCAATATTATTGTGTTGGAACAAAAGGATCTGCTGATTGGAGCCATCATAAAAATATATTGGATGTTGTCATTAACCTCTATTTTACAAATGAGAAGCCCAGAGAGATTAAGTGGCTTGGCCAAGATTAAATAACCATTAAATGGCAGAGCCATTACAAGGTTCATTTAAAGAAACATATAACATGCATTGAGCATTTAATGTGTCAGGCTGGGTAAACAAGATGTAGGATATAGTGCTAGTTAACTCCTAGGTATCCAGAAATTTCTATAATAGTATATTATATTCTAAACCACTATTATTGAAATTTTTGTTTTACCGTACTCTGTAATTTTAGCAGCTTGGCCAATCAGTAAATACTGTTCTCTTTACACAAGATTCATGTAACCAGATCTGTTTGGAAACTGATCTTGAAATACATTGGAATAAAAGGTCTTAACTCAGAAGCATGTGTTTTGAATCATTTGTCTAGATTCTCTAAAGTAAAATGGAAAGTTATGATTCTCAAATGTCCCCAAATGAACAAAAAATTGATGACAATGTTAAGTTGACTGAATTACTATTTAATCAATTATTACGGCCTGATTTAACAAGCTATTTTCATTTTCAGTCTAATGGTATACAAAGAGGAACTTTACCTTATGTATCGTTTCTCCAAATTCTTTGTATAAATCATGAAAGTCTTTTGTGAAAGAAAACTAAGCGAATTGACATGGAACATAAAGTGAATAAAACATTTTTAAAATGTAGTTGTCCATTATGGAAAATGCCATTCTAATATATTCAGCTAAAAAAGACCATTAGTACAAGACCCAAATATTAATGAAATCCAGGGTTTTCAACAAAATGTCATTGCTACTTTTCCCTAATAAAGTTAAAAGAAAAATGGGGATGGCTTTTAAGTGAAAATTTAATAAAGGTGCTGGCATCACAACTGGATACAACGCAAGGATACAGAAGAAGTAAGATGTGGGCGGGCAGTCTCACAGCAATGTCATAAACATAAGCCTTCTAAAGACTTAAGCTGTCTGTCAAGCCTTTTAGACATCTGCCTGATAAAAGCATTTTTGTTTTCTTTTTCTTCAAGGCTTCAGGAAACAGCCGACCGCCGTCTGCTTAAGGCCCAGGATGGCCCTTTCTCACAGGCCGGGACACCCCTGGCTCGCCTGGCCACGCCCCCTCCAGCTCCCACAGCGGGGTCCCGCCCCTTCCGCCTCCCACTTCCTGACAACCACTCTCCTTTGCGCCGCCTTTTCGGGTCCTGATTGGCTGATGTACCAACCGGTAACGGCTGCTACAGAGTTTAAATCCGAGCCGCGGTGGCGGCTCCTCGCCGAGCTCCGGGAGCTGGGTGGTGGTGCCCCACTCTCAGAGAGGGGTAAGTCGGTGACCTGTGACATTAGGTGTGGCCGCCCTTGTCTGCCAGACAAGGACCTCTGCCGGGCCTCTTGGCGCTGTCCGCCGCGGTCTCTGGCCTGCCCTCTGCCCTCCCAGATCCCGGACCGCAGGCCCTTCTCGGGCTCTGAGGGCTTGTTTGGCGGAGTTGCTGTTTTTGATCTGAGTCGCTGCCTCTTGTCTCCGCGATTTGAGCGCCCGGCTGGGCGCGGGGGGGGGGGGGGGGATGAGCCCCTAATTAGAAGGTCAGTTGCTTCAGGGAAAGGATTTCTGTCTTTTTGACTGCTTTACTTTCTGCTTCTAGAATAGTTTCTAGCTCATTATGAGCGCTCAATAAATACCAGGGAATGAATGTTCGGGACTGCTTGCTGCAGTTCTTGAAGAAGCCTTCTCCTTTGGATAACTCGTTTAAAAGAGAGACTGGCTGAAGACGAAGAGGTGATGGAAAATGGGGGAGAACTTAGAACTTTAAGTCTTCTTGATGTACAGGTGGGATTTTGGTAGAGTATAGGGACGATCATTTTTCTAGGTGAGGGATCTAATTCGGGAGAGTTGGATGTGGAACTGAATAGTTCATATTTAGAGGTAGCCGAGATACTGGCCGGACAAGAGCTACAGAATAGTAATAAATAGGTGATATTATTCAGTACTATGTTCCAGGCCACTGTACATACATTGGCTCATTTATTCCCTACGAGAAGATGTCCTTATTTTCCATAATTTTATAAATCTGGAAATTGAGATTTAGAGATCTTGGGATCACATAACTACGAAATGTTGAAACTGGGGCTCCAGCATAGTTATAACCTCTATCTGTAATACCTTGGTGTCTACATGGTAAATCACCCTGAAACAGTACTCCAAAGACCTGGTTCTGGCTCCATAAGTGCCACTTGGTGAGGTCATTAATATGAGGAGTGATGGCAGTGTTAAGGAAGACTCCCTGATTTCTGGCATGGACATTTGGATGGGTGATTGATGGTGCCATTTATTAAGTTAGGGAAGTGTATACGAAGCAGCTTATTGGGGAGGGCAGTTCAGCCGTGGTTTCCTAATTAGCAAAATGAGATTTGATATTCCTGACTGGATTTTTTGGGAGATGGACTAGGTTTCTATGTTAGCATTGTTACAGCAAGTGGTCCCCAGGACAAACCGAGCAGCACATGGAGAGTCGGAGAATCGAAGTTTATTCGCTGGCGGGCTCAGAGGGGCCTCACCACCAAATTCTGAGCCCCATCTACCCGATTTTTCCCATTTTTATTAAGTTGTGGTGGTCTGGGGGGTAGGGTGTCAGGTGGTTAATGCCCGCCAGGTAATAGGTTAGTTGATGTGTCAGATAATGGATTTAGTGTTATGCTGATGCACCAGGTAGTAGATTTAGTGTTATTCTGATGTGCCAGGTAATAGATTAGTTGATGGGCCAGGTAATAGGTTAGTATTATGCTGATGCTGGTCTTCTGTGAGGGGTGGGGGTCTCAGGTGGCTGATGTGCCAAGTAACAGATGGGGGTTTTCCTTATCAACATCCCTTTCAGGTGTATGAGATGCAACAATTTGCATGGAATTTCTGTGTGTTCCTATGTTCTACTGTCTGTGGAATAGATAGTGATCTTTGACTTTAAAATTTCTTTTTGGCAAAACTTTTAGAAGAAGCTTTGAGCTTTAATGTTGAAAGGTTCCTGGTTCAATTTCTTCCCCACTGTAGCAATTTTTTCTGAAACCATCTTTCCGTTATTTGTCTGACATCTTCCAACATCTGCTCAACACTTTCAAAGGAGACCCATTCCAAGACTGAGTAATTTTTACTCTTGGAAAGTTCTTCTATTCATCTATAGTCACTTCTTCAACAAAAGTTTATGTAGCAGCTGCTATGCGATAGGCAATGTTATAGGCACTAAGATACAGAAGCAAACTTGACAAAAATCCACGCCCCTGTTGAACTTACATTTTATTACTAGTAGGAGAAAACAGACAATAAATAAATAAGAAAATAATTTGATTTTATGTTAGATGTGGATAAGTTAATGGAGAAAAATAAAACAGGAAGGGGAAATGGGGGCAGGTGTGCAATTTTAAGTAGTTTGGACTGCGAAGGCTCACTAAGAAAGTGACATTTGTGGGCCGGGCGTGGTGGCTCATGCCTGTAATCCTAGCACTCTGGGAGGCTGAGGCGGGAGGATCGCTTGAGCTCAGGAGTTCGAGACCAGCTCTGAGCAAGAGCGAGGCCCCGTCTCTACTAAAAATAGAAAAAATTAGCAAGTCAACTAAAAATAGAAATAAAAAATTAGCCAGTCATGGTGGCTTGCGCCTGTAGTCCCAGCTACTCGGGAGGCTGAGGCAGGAGGATCGCTTGAGCCCAGGAGTTTGAGGTTGCTGTGAGCTAGGCTGACGCCACTGCACTCACTCTAGCGCGGGCAACAAAAGCAAGACTCTGTCTCAAAAACAAACAAAAAAGAAAGTGACATTTGCGCAAAGACTTGAAGAAAATGAGCAAGCCCTGTGATCATTTGAAGGAAGAATTGAAACAAATGAAAAAAAGAATACAAAGGTTCTGCATTGTGAGCACCTCAAAGTGGCCAGTGTGACTGGAGCCTAGCAATCAAGAGGAAAAGTAGTGAAAAGGTCAGAAAGGTGTACTGATAGGGAATTGGGAAAGGGAGAAGTGTCAAATTGTGTAGTACTTTATAGGCCATTGTAAAGATTGAGTGAGGTGGAAAGCTACTGGAGGATTTTTTCACACAGGAGTGACATGAATTTACTTAAGTTTTAAAAGGCTCATTTGGTTGCTAGGTTGAGAATAGATGGGGGTGGGTAGAAAATGGAAGCAGGAACACTGTTTAGGTAGTGTCAACAGAAAAAAAAAAGCCAAACTCTGTAAAATAATTTTAAAGAGATTTAGTCTGAGCCAAATTTGAGAACCATTACCCGGAGCCACACCCAAGAAGCCTTGAGCAAGTGGACTCGGTGTGGCTGGGTTACAGTTTGGTTTTATACATTTCAGGGAGACAGGGGTTACAGGTAAAGTCATAAATCAATATGTGGGAGGCATACATTGGTTTGGCCCAAAAAGGTGGGCCATCTCGAAGTGGGGGGCTTACAAGTTATAGGTGGGTTTAAAAATTCTTTGACTTATAATTGGTTAAAGACATGAAGCTTTTTCTAGAGGCTTGGAATGTTTTAAATAAGAAGCTTTTAATCTGAGATAAGCCACCAGACATATATTTGTTGTATAAACTGAGGACCTGCAGGTTTGTCTTGAATACCCTTAGGCCTATTGATGGATTACAAAGGATGTCCCCAAGAAGGGAGGGGGACATGATGAGGCATGTCTGACCTTCCTCCTCCTGGCAGGCAATTTAGTTTTAGGATCTTTCTTTGGCCACGTGGGGGTCCATTCAGTCAGCTGGTTGGGGATGAGCCTTAACATTTTATTTTAGTTCACAGTAGCTATAGTAATAATGTACATGAGAGAGAATGGCAACTTGGATCAGAGTGGTAGCAGTCGAAATAGCAGTAAGTGTCCCGTGTGGATATGTTGTGAAAGTTGAGCCAGCATGATTGATGATAGAGTAGATGTGGGCTGTGAAAGAAAGAGAAGTTTCTGACCTGAGCAACTGGAAGGATGGAGATGACATTAAGTGAGATGGGGAGGACATGGTGGAGCAGGTTTGGGGTGGGGGAAGTTTAGGACATGTTAAATTTGAGATGCATAGTAGACATCCAAGTTAGAGATGAGGAGTGGGCAGTTGGATGAATAATTCTGGAGTTCAAGGGAGATGTCTAGATTGAGAATATAAATTTGAGAGTCACTGGCATTTAGATTTAAAAGCCAGGACACTGGCTGATAGCCCCAGGGAATATATAGATGTGTGTGTGTGTGTGTGTGTGTGTGTGTGTGTGTCTGTGTGTGTGTGTATAAATAAATAAACAGAAAAGAGATAAGGTCCAAAGACTGAGATCTGGGGCACTCCAGAGATAAGAGGTTAGAGAGATGAAGAATAACCAACAAAAGAGCCTGAGAGGAAGTGGTCTGTGAGGCAAGAGAAAACCTAGAAGAATGTGCTGTTTTGGAAGCCAAGTGAAGAAACTGGTTCAAAAAGAGGGAATGATCTGACATTAAATGCTGCTCACAGATCAAGTAAAAGTAAAACTGGGCCTAGACCACTGAACTTAATTTAACAAAATGGTAATTTAGTGACCTTATTTAACAGTTTCCATAGAGTAGTGGTGAGAGCAAAAATTTCTTTTTAGTGGATCAGGAGAGACTAGGAGATGATTTGGAGACAGCAAGTATAAACAACTCTAAAGGAGTTTTTCTATAAAGGGAAGCAGAGAAATAGGGTGATGGCATTCCAGCATCAGGGACCATTTCTATTTTCTTAATGTTCAAGTTTCATGCATTTACACATGCTATTCTTTCTTCCTGGAGTACCCTTCCTAATCTTGATGCCTGACAAGTTCTTAGATTTTAAGACTTACTCATTCAACAAATTTTACTCAGTTCATATCACTTGCCATGAACTGTTTTATGAGCTGGGATATATATCAGTGAATAAAACAGATAAAAATACATAACCTCATGGACTTTAAACTCTAGTTGAGGAAGATAGCTGATGAGTAAATTCTGTAGTATGTTAGTGAGCTAAATGCTATGGAAAAAAACAGAAAAAGGTACGAGTGATCAGACTTGCTAGGGGAAGGAGCTACAGTTAAATGACCTCACTGAGAAGGTGACATTTGAACAAAGATTTGAAGGAGAGTGAATGAGCCATTTGTATATCTGGAAGAAGTTTCTAAACAGAAAGTATTTATCCTAAATGGAGAATAACCAATACAAAGGACGTGAGGCTGATTAATGCCTGGCAGATGCCAGGAACAAATCTTGGTGCCCAGTGTGATGGAGGGGAATGAGCTAGGGGGAGAGAAGGAGGAGTTCAAATTAGAGAAATGGAAGAAGAGCAGATGGTGGAGACTTCTGGACCACTGTAAGCACTTTGGAGAGAAGTGAGAAACATCATCTTAGAGCTTTGGCAGTGGAAGTAGGGAGACAAAGCCTGTTGCAAAATTTCAGGTAAGACATGATAGTGCCTTGGACTAGGTTGGTAGCCGTGGACATACTGAGAGGTGGTCAGATTATAAATATATTGTGATGGTAAACTGGGATGTGAGAGAGGTTTTTGGCTGAGGGATGGAGTTGTCATTAACTGAAGTGGGAAAGGCTCTGAGTGAAGCAGGCTTTGTTACTGGGAAAACTCAACTCGGCACTTGTCCTAGAGGTCACATCAAAAGAAAAGTGGTTTAAGGAGAAGGAAATGCCATCATCCTAATAATAAGTAGAAATAGGGAGCTTTTAAAGGGAGGCCATTCAGCTTCTGGCGACTGCTGTCAACTACATTTGGTGATTTTGATCTGTCCTATCTCCTGAAGCACAAATAACGAAAAACTTACCCTGCCCCTCTCAACCACTGGCCTGAGGCATAGATGCAGGTTTTAGTTTTCAAAAAGGAGTGGAAGATGTTTTAAAAACACAGAGAATCATTTTGCCATTTTTTTTGACAGCCCATTCCCTCTGTTACAGTTTGAAGCAGGTTTAAATCTGATGCATCTATTTTAGTCAAGTAGAATTGTGGACTAGAAAGTTGGATATGTGAATCCAGGAAAGAGATCCAAACTGTGGACATAAATCTTGGCACCTAAGTCATATTTTAAGCCATGAAACTGTGAACTCACCAAAGGGAGGCGTGTACATAAAGGAGGTCTAAGGAGAGAACCTGTTATACGTTGGAAGAACCTTTAAAAGAGACTGAAAAGGAACAGGTAGTTAGTGTTAGGGTGGAAAGGCTAGTAGGTGCTCATGGCGCGGGTGGAGAAAGATTTCTCATGCAGAAATTCAGATGTAAATGTAAAAAGTTTATTTTACCCTTTAGAAGGACAGAGAGAATGAGAGAGAGAGAGAAAAGGGAGGAGTAGAAGAGAGCAGTGAGATGGCATAGCATCCCAAAGAAAGAGAAGGGAGATGCCAGCAGCCATATTAGCGGGCCGTCTCCAGACATCAGTTGTCCATCTTTCTTGTGTCTTCTGTTCCTGGAGACTTGCTTATCTCTGAGATATAGTCAGGCCTATCACAGGGGATGTGATTTTTGCCCCTGAGATATGGTTTTGGGCAGGAAAGAAGGCCTGGAGTTTACGTCCCTGTTGTCTGGTCCGGGAGCTTCTCGGGAACACTTTTAGGCTACACAGAAACAAATTCTAAAGGCTATGAGCTGGTGAACTTAAAGAGAAAGATTTATATTTCCTTTCTGGGCTTTTTTCAGGTGTTTGTGAAAACAGAGTCCCAGCAACAGCAAAGAGTAGGGAGAGCTGAAGATTGATCTTTAGCTGTTGTTAGAAAATTACGGGATTAGATCTTTTCCTATTATTTCAGCAAGGCCACCCTTACATTTAGGTAGGAAAAAATCCAGGAGTATGGTGTTCTGGAAGCCAAGGAAAGATCATTTTTGAGGAAGGAGAAATTAACCATATCTAATGCTGCTGGTCAAGTTAGAAGAGGTCTGAGGATTGACCATTAGATTTAGCAGCGTGGAGGTTCTTAGAAACCTTGCAAAAGCAGTTTTGGTGGAATAATTGGAATGAAAGCCAGATTAAAGTAAGTTTATGAGAGAATTGGAAACTTGAGTGTAGACGGTTCTTTTAAGGAGTTGTGTGTAAAGGTCTGCAGAGAATTGGAGTGGTAGCCTGAGGAAGAAGAGAGAACAAAAGAGGATTCTTCAAGGTAAGGGAAATAGCAATTTGTTTCTGTGTTGATGAGAATGATCCAGTGGAGAAGAAAAAAATTGGTGATGTAGAGGAGAGAATCGATGGACTGACATCTGTGAGGAGGCAGGAAGACATGGGATCCAGTGCACAGAATCCTTATCTAAGTAAAGCAAATTTGGCCTTAGATAGGAACACAGTTTATCCGTAACAACAGGAGAGAAGGTGATTGTAATGGGAGTTTTGAGAAAGTTCTCTACGGTTTGCTTCAGTGTTTTCAGAGAGAAGAACAGTGAGACAGGATGTGAAATTATCAAGGAATAGAGGAGTGACCCAGGGGTTGGTAGTTGACAATAGCAATGAGGGATAATAACATTATATTTCAGACTGGGAATTTTTAGGGAGGAGAGAGGACAAATGGTTGGCAAGCCTGAATGTGGTGCGACCTCTAGGAGGGTTGTGGGAGAAAAAACAGCCCCTGCCTGATAGGACTGCAGGCAAATCTATGTCCTCAAGGGAGAGGCTGGTTTAAGAAGAGGAAGGGAACATTCAGAGAAGAGATTAAAGCTATAGAGGTTTCATCGATGATGGAGTGAGTTCCAGAAGACTTCACCAGTTGCCCAGGGGTGAGATGGAGACTATATTCATTTCCTCTGGCTGCTGTAACAAATTACCGTAAAAGCAACAGGATTTTATTTTCTCACAGTTCTGGAGGTCAGAAGTCTAAACTCAGTATCAATGAGCTGAAATCAAGGTGCTGCCAGGCTGCACTCGCTGGATGCTCTGGAGGAGAATCTGTTCCTTTCCTCTTTCAGCTTCTGGTAGCCGCAGGCAATCCTTGGCTGTGGCTGCATCCAATCTCTGCTCTTTCCTGTAAGGGCACTTGTGATGGTATTTACGGCCTCGCTGGATAATCCAAGATAATCTCCCCATTATAAGATTATTAACTTAATCAAATAGGCAATGACCCTTTTTCCACATAAGGTTTAGAATTACAGGGACCTGATATCTTTGGGGGCCATTTTTCAGCCTACCATAGGACCAAATGAAGAATATGCAGAGCTGCAGGGGGATTAGAGTGAGGGAGACGAGGGTGACCTTAGGAGTCTGGGGATTCTCTTCATGATTGACATGGAGAACATAGTGAGATTAGTCCTATGGACTCAAGGCAGGTAGTGGTGGAGAGGCTCAGTATTGGGGGTTAGGCAGGTGCAGGTGACAGGGTTTTTTCTAGATCTCTTCAGATGGAGGCAAGGAGACTTGGGAGGGAATGGAGACTGGGAAGTTGGTCTTATCCAAGCACATGGCTCAACATCAATTGCACCTTCTCAGTGAACCTTTTTCTGATTTTTTTTCCTCTGCCTAGGCAGAGTTAACCACTTCTATGCATTATGTATTATAGCCATTATTCTTGTGATACTATAATGTAATGATTCCTTCCTGTTTCTATAACAGGCCATAAATCTCATAGACAGATAAGTTTAAGATTTCCTGCCACTCTCTTCTGTGCTCCCATTATACTCTGTGTACATCTCTCTAGGTTACACTTCTTGCATTGTATCAAAACAGTGTCTATACCTACCTTGTACTATGCATTCCATGAGAGCAGAGACCATAACCTGTCATCTAGTGGTATGCCTAGCACCTAGCACATAGATGATTAGTATAGGTGTGAATGAAAAAATTGTTATTTACCTTTTTGGATTATACTTTAAACCACTTTCGATGACATTCATACTTTCAGATTTTATATAAAGGGTTATACATATACTTAATGGAAAAATTCATGGCTTGTGCCTGTAGTCCCAGCTACTTGGGAGGCTGAGGTGGGAGGATAGGAGGATCACTTGAGGCCAGGAGCAGCCTGGGTGATACAGCAAGACCCCGTTTCTAAAAAAATAAATAAGCAAATAAATAAAAACAAAGTATATTATTAAGTTGTGATTGTTACTTTTTAGAATGTATTTATCAGTTATCCTTTTTTCTTTTGTTAATGAATACTATGATTTCTTTCTTTTTTCTTTCACTTTAGTGATGGAGTGCCCAGTGATGGAAACTGGCTCACTTTTTACCACAGGGATTAAGAGACATGTGAAAGACAAAAGAATTTCAAAGACTGCTAAGTTGAATGTTTCTCTTGCTTCAAAAATCAAAACAAAAATAATAAGTAAGTGCCACTGATTTTTTAAAGTACATTCAAATTTTTACTTTTCTCTGGACAATTGATATATTTACTACCTTATTTTATCAAGCACAGAAAATTACTAAAATGACTATTTTGTGATCTTATACTTTTTTCTCTTTGATCCTCCATATCTCCTTCAACTCCTATTAGTTGGATGGTTTTGATGATTTACCCTCAGGAGTGACAACTGAATTTTTAGCAGAGAGGTAAGGGTAGCCAAGACAGCTAGTCCTACAGTACAAAAAAAAAGAAAAAGAAACAAATGTGGACTATTCTGGAGAAGAGCTAAAAAGAGTAGCAGATTGCTCTGACATGCTATAGTGACTGGATGATGGGTAACCTAAAGGTAGTTGACCCAGATTGTGTACTGTGGAGGGGGATTTTATCTAGCTAATGCTCATCATGAGAGCACTGATCTCTTTGGAAATGGAATTTCTTGAATTCTGGAGTTAAAGTGTCGGAAGGGCAAAGAAAGCAGGTAGGAAAACTCTCCAAGATAAATTTTTGTTACTTCTGAAAATTACCTCAATGGTTCATACCCATCTTAGCAGGAGTGGGGGAAGTATCCTTGTAGTAACATTTCCTGTTGATATAGCTCCTATGAGGGATAATTGAGTGTGTCTTATGAAATAACCAAGCCTCCTAAGTGTCTGTAAATCATCATGTTGCTCCTACCTGGGTCTGTAGGGCCACAATTGCCTGCTCCCTTTGGCAAGACCATGGCACACACCCTATTAAGAGGGAATATGCTGAGTTTGAGGAATACAACAGGAAAATGCTATGACCCTTTATTTTTCCGAAATCCTAAACGGGTTCTAGTCTATTTCTATTTATTATGTCGAGGATGGCTATCTGAACTACTTTCTCTGTGCCAAAGATAAAGTACTTTTTTGGACCCTGTTTCTTAGATTCCCAGATTTTCCTTGGGTACTTAAAAATATTATTAAATTTTATAAAACTAATTCAGAAATCCAGCAGGTGGGAGATGAGTAAATTTCACACCTAGCAGGTACAGTGCACACTATATAGGTGATGGACACACTTATAACTTTGACTCACCAGTGGTACAAAAGCTATTTAGATAACCAAAGTGTTGGTACCCCCATAATATTCTGAAATTTAAAAAAGTTTATATTAAAAAAATAAATCTGTTATATCTATAAAAAATGATAATTTATGATAAAAAAGAAAGTCTGATGATTCAGTTATAAACTACACACAAATGACCCACAAATAAAACATCTACTATAAATTTAAAAGACATCTTATTTTACATATACTATACATTCATTCAGTGGAATATGTTATTACATAGTGACATGTAAATCAAAATTATGAAAATATAATTAGGCTTTAAGTATACTAAGGGAACACACTGTAAGTTGAGCTTTACCAAGGAATTCACAATGTGATTTCTTTGCTGCCAACAGAAAAACATTTCAAGAATGATTTAAATCATATTTACGTAGTACTTTTAAGGGGAAGAAGTAAAGTTTAGATTGTAATAGATTCCTAGAAATAAGAGGTAGGGTATTTTAGATGGAGGTAAAAGGTCCCACAAAGTTTAAATGATCTAACATTACAATAAGTACTCTCACTTTCACTCAAAGTTTGAAAAGTAGACTTTGGGAGCTTAACTGATTGATTCAGTTCTGGAGCCACAGAAACTGGCTTTAAAATTTTTATAGATTGGATTGGCTACCTTGATTCCTATAGGACATCTCCACATAGAGCTACAGAATCAGCTTCATTCTGTTTCCTAGTCAAAGGTAGGAAGGAAGGTAGAGCAACAAGTATCAAGATTTAGTTTTTGTAACTGATCTATTAATAATTATCTAGAATGTTGTGTCTGTACTATGGTCCTCTTATTCCTAACTCTGTTTATACATATTCTGCATTCCTCACAACTCTTTTATTCTTCATCTTCTATCTAGCTTTTATTTTTTCATCTCTAAACTCTGGGTATGTTTTTTTCAAAACTACATCCGTATTGTTATTCTCTTCTTTTCCAACCTTCAGTTAAAATATGTAAAGTAAAATGCATTTTGTCTAAAATAGTTTTACTAAGGAATATGAAAATTTATTAAGGGATACTGTCCAGTTCAATATTAATTCATTTAAATATCTTTTTACAGACAATTCTTCTATTTTCAAAATCTCTTTAAAGCACAACAACAGGGCATTAGCTCAGGCTCTTAGTAGAGAAAAAGAGAATTCTCGAAGAATTGCAACTGAAAAAATGCTATTGCAAAAAGAAGTAGAGAAACTGAATTTTGAGAACACATTTCTTCGCATGAAGCTAAATAACTTGGTATGGAAGCTGTATTGCTTTTGAATTCTAAATTATAACTCAAATGTTTTAGCTATATTATTGTTAATATTCAAGCTCTAAAAATGTTTTTTCAGATCTTCAATTGTGAAAAATTATTGAAAGTCAGTATGCCATGTAAATCTATGTTAAAGGATAAACTGTTAATGGGTAATAAAATGGGTGTCTTAAGTCATTTTAAATGTGTGCTTGTGTGCTGTGCAAACCAGTATAATACCTTGATCAACATTTGCTTGCTTATCATAAGCAAAGCTTGGTACATTAATATATTTTTAAAAGATAGGCATAATTCTTCCAGTGTATTGACAGGAGGGGAGTTCCAGAGTGTTTGTATTCTCCTTAAATTTCAGCATTTTGTTGGGTACAAGCCAAATAGAATGAAGACAATAGTTGTTGCTTTTCCTTACAACTTCTAACTCTATCCATAGATAGGGCAGTGAAAGCCAATGATTAGCTAGGCTGCAACTGTAGATTTAGATCCAAAATGAGTAGAACTTAATTTAAAATGGAAAAATGACCAACTGTACTTGAGTGTTAAATTCCTGTGATTGACAAACTATATTCTCTTGCCATGTGATATTTTATTGAGAAGATAGAAAAATGTTTTTGGGAAAATTTATAATTGGTAGTTCAAAAGCATTTAAAATGTGTGTGTGTGTGTGTGTGTGTGTGTGTGTGTGTGGCTATTTGATTCATACCTTTTTAGCTCAAAGTGATCTTGATTTTTAGCTCAATGCGATTTCAATTATTTTCTAATTTTTCTCACACTGATGGTATTCATAAATGCATGGTATTATAATAAACTCCAAGCTTTAACTGATTATGAGGGGTCTTTATTTTACATCTACAGAATAAGAAGCTTTTAGAAATAGAAGCTCTCATGAACAATAATTTGATAACTGCAATTGAAATGAGCAGTCTTTCTGAGGTAAGTAGAATTTATATATAAGTAATGTCATTTTTTAGATTACCAAGGATAATTGAGACTAAATAGCATCAAGGTTAGAGATTCATATTTCAAACTTTGTGCAAAAGAATGATAATATCAATTAACTGGCTAACAGCAAGCATATTATCATTTTGTATAATTGGTTATTGAAATTATTTTATAAAAATTAGGTTTTTATTAAAAATAACAGTATTAGCTCAGTGGACCACACTGGACCCTAAACAGACTTAGAAACTTGAAGACATTAATAGAAAAGTAGCATTTCACATAGGAAAGAATTTATATTATTTCTTTAAAAGAAGATGGACCCAAGTCCATCCTATTTGGGGAAAAAATAAAGGCATATCCTACTTTATACCATTCTCTAAAATAAATTCTAGATGGATTCTAATATAAAAAAGGAAATCATACAAAATAAGAAGAAAATAAATATGAATTCAAGTTTGATAGGAGAGGCTTTTCTATACCTGGAAGCAAAAATAGAAACCGTAAAGCTATGGAAGGATTTTCCTCAGAAAGAAATTTTTAGAAAGTTAAAAGTTATAAAAATAAAAGATAAATTGCAAACTGAGAAAATCATTTAACATATGGCAGACAAATCATTAATATTATCAATAGTTGTAAAAAGCTCTTATAATCTAGCACAAGGAGAATAAAATCAGTAGCAAAATCAGAAAGGAAGAAGGACCAAATATTAGTGAAATTAACCCAAGTATTTAAGTAGGAAAAATGTGTTGTGAAGGATAGTTAATGAGAAGGCAAAATATATGTAATATATAAACTAAAGAAAGAATAGTGAAGTCTCAGTTTTTGTTTTTGTTTTTTTTTTTTTGAGACAGGGTCTCATTGTGTTGCCCATAGGCTAGAGTACAGTGGCATCATCATAGCTCACTATAATTTCAAACTCCTGGGCTCAAAGGATCCTCCTGCCTCAGCCTCCCTCCCAAGTAGTCGAGACTACAGGCGTGTGTCGCCACATCGAACAAATTTTTCTATTTTTTGTAGAGACAAGGTCTCACAGTGTTGCTCAGGGTGGTCTTGAACTTCTGGCCTCTAGTGATCCCTCTA